ATCATTATTATCATCATCATCATCATCTTCATCTACCATTTACCAATCATTACTTCTCATTTTCCCTCTTATTTCCATTGTGTCGAAATTTCCCTTAATCTTTTTACGCCAAATTTATCACTCTCGCTACAATAAAAAAAAAAAAAAAATTTATTTTATTTTTTTTTTTTTTCGTTCGTACGAACGAAACGGTGTATTAAAATAATAATAATTATTTTCGTATCGAATCATTTTTATTCCTTTTTTAAATCTATTTCCGGTCACGTGTCAAAAAAAAGGAAAATTTTCAAACCGCCGCTCTCGTAGTAATAATAAGCAAAAAAAAAAAAAAAAAAAAGAAAATTTTTTTTTTTGTGTTATTTTCTTTCCGTTTTCTTTCTATTTTTTTTTTTCTATTCGTCCATCTTTGTTTTAATACCTTACTCTCTCTCTCTTTCTTTTTTATTTTTTTGTGACAAACTAATCTGTCACATTTTCCTTACCTGTCACGCGAGTCAAAAAATGAGTGACTAAGTTGACAGGTTATTCGTGATCATCAATAGGATTAACGCGAGAGGTTGTTATTATTATTATTATTATTGTTGGTTTTGTTTCATTGTAATTGGATTTTTTTCTTTCTTCTTCTTCTTCCTCCTCCCATTTTGTTTTGTTTTCCTTCTTCTTCTCCTTTTGGTTATTTTTACCTTTTCTTCTTTTTTTTTTTAAATACGATTGACACAAAATTAGATATTTGTTTTTCTTGTTTTTCTTATTATTATTATTATTATTCTTGTCGTTGTTGTTGTTGTTATTATTATCATCACTCTTATTGTTATCCTAAAAAAAAAAAAAAAAGTTATTTTTTAATTTCACGTGTTTGACTTTCATTTTTAACTTAAAAAAAAAAAAATTACTTCCATCAAATTTACAAACTTTTTTTCTTTTCTTTTCTTTCTAAAAATTGAAATTTTTAACAACAAAAAAAAGTTGTTTTTAAAGGGGAAGAAAGAGAGGGAGGGAGGGGGGAAGGGAAAAATCATCCCTTATCATATTTTGTCAAGGGATAAATAACTTTTTAAAATAAAAAAAAAAAAATTAAACAACGGTAAATTTTTAAAATCCGAGTACAAAAAAAAAAAAAAAAGGAAAACAAAAGATTTTATAAAATCTATTTAAAATAATTTAAATTTGTAAAAAAAAGAAAAAGGAAAATTTTGTGGATAACCAAAGAGGCAAATAGGAAAAGACAATGATGGGAAAATTTTAACAAAATGAGATTTTAATATTAACAAAGAAATTGTGAAAAACATACAGACAATAAACCGACCATTGAATTTGTTATCACATAAGGGAATGGCTCAAGTTGAAACGTTGTCGTTTGCTATTTGAAAATAGTTGTGTAATTTCCTACTCGTTGTGTCAAACCGGAAGTTAATGGGCGTGCTTACAATTTTCAATACTTGTTGGGATGATGATGAGGAGGAAGAAGAAGAATAATAATATAAAGGGAATGTAGGAGATTTTTCCTCTCTTTCTCTCTCTCTCTCTCTCTCACTCACTCTAGTGAAAATTTTCCTTTTTTATTTAACTTACGAAAAATATATATATATATCGAAATGAATTACGATGTGAAGAAATGTTTTCTTTTAAAAAAATATTTCTTAAAAATTGACAGGGATTTAGTATGAGTACGTTCAGAAAGCAAAATTTTTTTCGTCCCCCCCCCTCCCCAGAAAATAAATTAATGTTTTGAAGAAGAAGGAAAAAAAGATAAAATGAATTACAAAATGGTTAAAAAAAAAAAAAAAAATTACCATTTGATATCCGAATTTCTTCATCGTCGAATCCCGCAGTTGTTTGAGAATACGGAGGGATGGAGGGGGAGGGGGTTGGGAAAAAAAAAAAAAACAAAATCCTATCTTTCATTTACGCCCGAATTTCTTATTCCAATTTCCGGTTGCCTGTCATAGCTGAAATGACTCATTTTCTGATAAAACTTCATTGCTGAGATCAGGGTTTCCAACAATTCTTTAGCAGCGCAGGGGTTGCCAACAACTTTAAATAAAAGGAAATGGTTTTATATTATTATTATTATTATTATTATTTATAGTATATTTGAAAATGAATATTTCAAATACGTTTTTTCAAATTTTTTTTTTTATGAATTTATAAATTATTATTAATCATACTCACTTTATTTCTTTTCTACTAATATTATTCCGGTAAAACCTAAAATAAATTGAAAAATTTCATTAGCTTTTATCATTGTTTTTTTCATCCGTTCACTATGGCGCCATTTTTGTAAAAATAATTAAAAATTGCCAATGATTATAAAAAAAAAAAAAAAAAAAAGTTTCGAAACAATTTTTTTTTTTTTTTTTAAAATAAAAATTTTAATTTGGCTAACCTGTTCCGTAAATTTCTTTTTAAAAATCCATTGAAAAGGAAAACAAAAACAAGTTTGTCACTGTGAAACGTATTTTTTTTAAAATTTAAAGTTTGAGTTTTAATTTAAATTCAAATGTCTGTTAGGACGAGGTTATTAGTTGCTGTCGAAGTTATATTGAGGGTGCCTCCATTGTTTGTTATTGATGAATTATTACCCTCTGGTTTTGATTTTCCACAGCAAACAGATTCTGCAGCCTCATTAGAAAATAGTAATTCGACATTACACGATTTATCGTTTGGGGGTAGCGCGTCTTATGATGCCCAATTTTACAAATTTTTAATTTTAGCTATTGTAAAATTTTTCTTGTCATGCTTGGGTAAGTTAAATTATTAATTTATTTTCAAACCAGTTTAGGTTATCTTTGAAGTTTTTTGATGTTTCATTCTTGATATTTAAATTATCCTATTGAATACTGAAAATTGAAAAAAAAAAAATTTTTAATCGTTTTGCGCTTGCATTTTTAATTTTTTAATAATGAAAACATGAAATTAATTTATAAATAATAATAATAATAATTAATTATTTAAAAAATTTACTTTTTATAGTATTTATTTTCCAAGATTTATTTATTGTGTCTCGTTTTTGATTTCAGGATGTGTGGCAGCTTTATCTGTTTTCCTACTTTCTATTGGGCAACTTTTTACAGTATACATGTACTTAATCTCTGTAGGAATAATATTTGTTTCCTATTGGGCTAATGTTTTTACTGTGAAAGCGATTACACTGGATACTGTAGGAACTCAAGCCTGCATATTAGAAGACATATTGAACTTAAACTTTATTAAAATCTTGCAACCGACATCAATGGGATTCGTAGTCGTACAAAACTATATTCTTCAATTGGTTTTATCAATTTCTTTCGTATTTACTTATTCGTACATTGGACCTAAATATCCTATTGTAAATAAGTTTGTACCAATTTCCTTTCTGGCACCTTCAATTCTTGCTATTCTACCTGCATCAAGTTCTCTTTTGAATCATTCGCCAGTGTTTGCTGCTCTTCTACCTTTAGCCATGGTCAAATATGTTTTATGCTACAGTGCCATACCTGTTGTACAAACAATCTATAGTGGATACCAACATTCTAGAAACATAATAAATAATTTCGGTTTGTCAGCATTGATTGAAGCGGAATGGTTAAGGCTGAATATACCTTGCATATTAAGAACATTTTGGTTAATAAGAGTTGCCGAACATGCAATGATATTACTTATCGAACACTATCAATCGAAAAATGTAGATGAATCCACAGTTCATTCGAATTTCCTAGCAATATCAGCTCTTTTATTAATGTGTAAAAGTTTGTTAATAAGTGGTTGTGAATCTCTGACAGCTCTTTTAGGCATGACATCAGTTGTTAGTTATATTTGCTATTATATTTGCTGCTTTTTTCAATGGATTTTATTAACAGAAGACGAAGATGATAAAAGTATCGGCGTCGTTTCCGCCATTTTATTTTACGTTTTGGCATTACAGTCTGGGCTGACATCTCTTGATCCTGAAAAAAGATTTATAAGATTAGCTAAAAATTTTTGCTTGCTATGCACAGCAGTTTTACACTTTATTCACAATATAGTTAACCCTTTATTATTATCATTAAGTGCTAGTTATAATCCAAGTTTGCACAGACATCTGAGAGCATTGGCAGTTTGTGGTTTTTTAATTTGTTTTCCCCTTAGTCTTTTATATTATTTATGGTCACAAAACATAAGTAAAAGTTGGCTGTTGGCAGTGAGCGCTTTCAGCATCGAGGCAATCATAAAGGTACTGGTATCGTTGGCACTTTACACATTGTTTTTAATAGATGCTTACCGGAGTACCTTTTGGGAAAAGTTGGACGATTACGTTTACTACATAAGAGCACTAGGAAACACGGTTGAATTTTGTTTCGGAATATTTCTTTTCCTCAACGGAGCTTGGATATTAGTATTTGAAGCTGGTGGAGCCATAAGAGCAGTCACAATGTGCATACACGCATATTTCAACATATGGTGCGAAGCTAAAGCAGGTTGGAGTTCTTTCATAAAAAGAAGAACGGCAGTAAGTAAGATAAACTTATTGCCAGAAGCAAGAGAAGATCAACTCACCGAGCTCGACGATTTGTGCGCCATTTGCTTTCAAGAAATGAAAAGCGCCAAAATCACGAGATGCAATCATTTCTTTCATGGCGTCTGCCTTAGAAAATGGCTGTACGTCCAAGATAGGTGTCCATTATGTCACGATATACTTTATAAAACTGAAGCAGAAAGGAAAAGCGAATCTGCAGCGGTTGCACAAATAGCATCGCCCAACGAAAACATCCATAACGAAGAAGTTGCAAGGCAAATGAATGATAATCAAATGTATTTCGATCAATTTTAAAAGTATTTATATACGAGAAAAAATAATAAAAAAATTATTTATACTTATTTATATATATATATATACATATACATATGTATGATATTAGATGTATGTATGGCAGTCGATATGAAAATCGTCATTTTATTGTGATTTCTTATTTTTAATAATTTATCGAAAACCTTTTTTTACTTTTTACCAACGATTAAAAATTAATTATAAATTATGTAAATGTCGTTAAGTGTAAATAATTCCGCGAGAGTTCGTCACTGTTCGTTTTTGGCGCGTGACGTAATTAAAAAGTTTTCGTTCCTTAAAACCGTTACGTGAAAATTAATGGAAAAAAAATTTTTTTTTAAACTTTTTCTTTTTTTTTTCTTTTCTCTCACGTCAATTACGTAACGTATTAATAACGTCGAAATAACGTTAAACAAAACAAAAATAAAATAATAATAATTTGTTTGAAAGAGAAAAAACTTTCATAATCATTAATAACTTCGCTATTAATAATTGTTTTTTTCATAACGGTTCATAACGGTTATTCCCTTACCTCCCCTTTTCCCCCTCCATAAAAAAAAGCAGAAAGCTATATGTAAATGTATGTATGTATGTATCTATGTATTCGATTAGCGCCAATTTCCCCTGCTCCCTCCCTCCCTCTCGTAATAGCTCAAAATTCCAAAAATTCACCCTCATCATCCCCATCGTTTTATTATTATTATTATTTTCGTTCTATTTTTCAATTTGTAACCGAAAGCTTTAATGAAAACGTCTCAAAAAAATTTATGTATAATTATTATTATTATTATTATTAAAGTACTTAGACGAAATTAATAATAGTAAATAAATAAATAAATAAATAATTATTTTCATTATATATATATATATATAAAAAAAAATTTTTTTTTTTTTTTAATTAAATTAATTTGATTTGTACAACCGATTGATATACACAGATATAAAACATTATAACCTGATATGCGTTCCTGTAAGTTAAACATAGAAGAAGAAAGAATTTTTTCTTTTCACGTTTCTTTTTAACCACCGAAAAAAATTATTATTATTATTACTTTTTTTTAATAATAAAATTTATTATTATTATTATTTTATTTTGTACGTTTTGTTTGTCGCGTCTTTTAAATATTATTAATACATAAAATAAATAATTGATGGTTTTTCTTTTCTTTTCTTTTATTTCTCCTCCCTTCCAGGTTTTTCCCATGTTTTGTTTCTTTTCCGTCCTCCTCGTTCTCCCCGTTCTCCTCCTCCTCCTCCTCCTTCTTGGGAATCCCCTTTTTTTTCTTAATTGAAAACCACACGCATCAACAAATTATATATATACTACCTGTTCCATTTCGGGGGGGGGGGGGGGGGGAATCTTCAACCTTAAATGATGGCTATTTTTTTCATGGTGCTTAAATCTCTCAAAAGCATTTGAACGGTTGCTTTCGTTCTCGGATACCGATCTGGACCTTCGTCGTTCACCGCATCGTCTTGCATGGATTCCAATTCTGTAAAAATTTTTCATCCCGATTTTTATCCCGATTTTTTTTTTTTATTTAAAATTTTCATTTCCCTTTTGATCATCATTTATTTTTTTTTTTTAAACGTACCCGCGACGAGTGATTCTATCCACGACAACCTCGCATCCACGAGCGTCTGATAATGAATCAAATGATCCAAAAGATTCAATTTGCATTCGGCTGAATCTATGGGCGCTTCCGGTTCCGGTGCTTTTGGCAATTGTTTATCATCTTCCGTCGAACCCCTGAAACCGGAAAAAGAAGAAAAGAACGTGAGAAAACTCCAGAATAACAATAACAAAAAAAAAAAAAAAAATAGAAATTTTTATAATTACTCTTCTTTTATTTTGATTCCGACGCCATCCACATTCACGTCCACGTTTTGCTCTTCGGATTTTTCTTCTTTCCTGAAATTACAAAAACGACAATAATAATAATGATAACTTCTTTTTCAAACGGTAAAATAAAAAAAAAAGAAAAAATTTTACTCTTCGGGTTCGTCTTTTATCCTGTTGGATTTTTTTTCCGTCCATTTTTTCGCCCACAACCACAATTTCGGATGATCTTTTTTTTCCGCAATGTTCACTTTGAGCCTGAGACTGTGTATGACCCTCGACAAGAGAGATATAGACCCGCTTAAATCGTACGACCTTTTAAGTATAGTTTTCCTTTGACTGATGACTTCATCTCTTTTCGAACGAAACGACAGACTTGAATGACAAAAAAAAAACCATTTTGAATTATCATTCCTTTTTGAAAATTCCTTTTCTATTCATTCTCACCTTGGAAGAGTTCCCTCTTTCAACCACTCTTGATCGTGTAAATATTTCATCGAGGGCCTTCCCCTATATGGATTTTTACATATGGCGCAAGTGTATTTATCGGGAACGTCGGTTTCTCTGAATATTCCAGCGCAGTGACCGTGTTGCCAACATAGGCAAATATCACACTGGAAAAAAAAGTAAACTTTACAAGTCGAACAAACAAACGGGAAAAAAAAAAAACCTCGCATTTCCCCTCCTCCCACGCCCTTTCCCATACCTGAATCATGAGTCCATCTTCTTCCGTTATTCCGCATATGCAATTAATTATTTCGTTTCTCCTCAATTTTTCGACTTTATCGTTTTCCAAGAGCAAACCAGAGGATGATTTGGTATCCTCTCCTCCGTCTTTCACATCTGAAAGGACAAAATTATTATTATTATTCTACGTTTCCTCGTTTCCTTTTCCCCCGTTTCTCGTCCACTGCCTATCGTCGTTGGAAAAATTAAATTACGTTAATATAATATTCAAACAAGGTAAAAAGACAAATCATCGCCAATTTTATGATGATGAGTTAATTAACCTTATTCCGCAATTTCCTTTTCTTTCCTTTCTATTTCCGGTTTGTTAAAAAAAAACAAAAAAAAACTCATACATGATAAAATTAGGACGTTGAATTATTCATAAAAATTTCAATAATTTTTCAATAATTCGCATTTTTATTATTAATAAAAAAAAAAAAAAAATTGACAAAACAAAAACGTCTTCTGCTTGTCGATTTTTTTTTTTAAATTTTATTTTTCGTTCTTCGTTTTTTTTTTTTTTTTTTTTTTTTTTTTTGTTGGACGAAGAGATATAAAACGTTGGAAAAACGATGGCGAATTTTGAAAATTTGTTACCCTCGAAAGAAAACTGGTTGAGAAAATGCGTGAAAGAATCCAAAGCGTTTTCGACGTCGAGAAAAACGAACAAAGTCAAAATAATACAGAAAATATTGAGGAATCGATACCAGGAGAGGAGCGTGTACTATTTCACGACGGGTAGAAAACTCGACGAGAAATTATTGGAAGAACAAAAGCAAGTCGACAAATCCCCGTTTTACTTTCTCAAAGATCCCGGCGATTTTTCCTACAGGACGAAACAGAAAGAGGAACACGCGAGAGACAGGGAAAAAGCGAAACAATACGCTTATTACAACAGGCCGAGCTACCATTCGAGATTGAGCGAAGGAAAACTCGAAAGACTTTACGTTCCCGATGACTACGAATTGCCCGGAAGTTCGATCACGGACACCGTCGACCCCGAATTTTTCACAATCGTTTCCGGTAAACCCATACGGGAAAAATTCGACATCAGAAATTATTTGCAAGATTTGCAATCGCTTTTTCTCATCAATTTACAAATCGGTTACAAGAGAGACGAAACTTTGCTCATCGAAGAACAATTCAGACAGGAAAAAAGTCAATTGGAAGACATAAAAAAAAAATTTCAATTTTATTCCGAGTGTTACGATAAATTCTTGGGCGAAGACCATTCCTCGAGTTTGAAATTGTTGAAATTGGCCGACAACGAAATTAAAAAATCCAAAGTCAAAAGGGAAAAAATAAAAACATTGCACCGGGATTGCGGATGGTACAGAACCAAAATCCTCATTTTGGACGAACAGTGGAGAATAGCGAGAGTTTTCCAAAAATTTCTCTATCAGATTTCCCCGCTTTGGTGGAGGAACAAATACGATTTTCTATACAGGGAAAAATCGAGCGGAGCCATCAACCGTTCGGAAACGTCACTTTTCGAAAAGCAAAACGCGGCTCAACTCACGGCCGCCCCGTCCATAATAACGATAATCGATCAATTCATCGACGAAGTTTCCAACGCACAACCCCCCCAACTGTATTTCACGGATCCCAACGAACTCCTCGAGATTTTTTACGAACTCGAAAGAAACAATTTGCTCGCTTTGTTGCAATGCGAAGAACTCACACAACCCGCGGAACAAATGAGGACCGGACTCGAGAGAGCGCGAGAACTTTTCGTGCAAGAAGTCGACGTCATACGAGATCAATTGAAATACCTGGAAGACGAAGTCGTGTACCAGGAAACTCGGAGTCGTTATTTCGAACAAAAAGCCAAAGAAATCACTGGGGGGTTTTTCAAAGAATTGGTCGCGGATAAATCCATTCTCAACCTTTACGTGAACGTCGAAGATTGTTTCGAATCGTGCGTCGCTCCCAACGACAGCAATTTGACTCTCCTGATGATGATGAAAGGAATCGAAAACGAACAGGAGTCTCTCATGGTCGCTTTGGACAAACTACCCAACGAAATCGTGCTCAAAGCCTTGCAAACTTGCTACCGGGAAGATGCCAAAATAATGAAAGAAGCTCAGGACGCCACGAAAATGATTATTCAAATCGAAAATCTCATGAACACGTTGAGAAAATCTCTCGAACCCGGGGAAAAAGTTAAAAAAGGAAGAAAACTCATTTGGAGATCCGAACCCATGACCGAAAAAATGGAAAGGCAACTCCAGAAAAATCAATTGACCAAAGAAGAATTGGAATATTTGTATTTTTTCACGGATTTTTGCGCGGCGACGGACGACGCGGAAACGGGGAAAGCGTTGTGCGCTCAGAAACAAATTAATATGAACGTGTCATAGCGAGGAGAGTCACGTGAGAGATGACAAAACGAATTTTTTCATTGGTCAACAAAAAGAACCAATGAAAAAATCGATACGATTCGTCGTAACCCAATCAAAAAACTTTTTTCCCCCCCCTCCCCTTTCTTTTAAAAAAAAAAATAAAAAAAAAAATACGTTACTGAAATTTAAAAGTGAGATTTGAAAACTTTAAATTTAAAATAAAATAACTAAATAAATAATATTACGACAATCAAACGGACTACTTACGATTTCATTATCCCTTCATTATCATTATTATTTACCGACCGTTAATAAACTTACTATTATTATTATTATTATTACATCCGAAAATCAGTTTTTCTTTTTTCTGGTTTTTTTTTTTTTTTTTTTTTTTTGATTTTAACGGATTTTCTTCGGCGGTTATTTCACGTGTGTTTTCTATCTATCTTATTTTTATCACGTGTTATATCGATACGTGCGTATTATTGTTATTGTTATTATTATTATTTTTTTTTTTGTTTTTTTGGCAACAGTGATAAAGACAGAAAACTGAAGGTATTTCAAATAAAAAACTCACCTAAAATTGAGTTATTTTGAGGTACAAGAGAATTTTCTTCTCGTTTACCACAACCGTCGTCATCCGTGGCACCTTCTTTCTTATCGTTTGTGCAATGCACTAATCGATATTTCTTCATTTGTTTTTTCTTGGATCGTTCATCTTTGATTTTCAAACGATGAGAATCGACGAGGACATTTGAATACTCATCACCATCGTCACCGACGTCACCATCGTCGCCGCCGTCGCAGGGAGTTATCCAATTTTCCACGATTGCATTTTCAAATCTGACTTTTTTCCCCGTCGCTCTCCTCCTCCTCCTCCTCTCCTTAACTTTCTTTAATTTACTTCCTCTTTTCCTTTTCCTTTTTTTTTTATTGCTTAATTTTGATGAACGTATCGAAATTTCCGACGCGGAAACGTTCACGTTCTTCTCTTTGATTTCGTCATTTATTCCTCCGTTGTTCGTTTTCCTCACGTATTTATTGTAAATTTCTTTTCTTCTGCAAACGTTTTCTAACAAAACGCAACTCTTTGGTATATCTCTCAAGCTTATTTCACATTTCAATTCCTTATCGAGTTTTTTATCGTTCGTACCTTCGTTTTCTGTACTCTCTACACTTAATTCACCGTTTTGAGTTTTTATCACCGTTTTTATCATCATTTTCCCACTTAAAAGCTCTTTATCCCCTGTACTTACTTTATAATTTTCTACATTGTCAGTCTTGGATTCATTTTGTTTTTGTACTTTTAATACGTCGTCATCATCGTCATCTTTGACGTTCGTGTCGTCGTCACTCGAGAACGCGAGTTCTTTATTCACAATGCATTTAATTGTGTTGCTTTCCTCGGTAAATTCGTTAGGTTTATTAGTTTTTAAACTTTCCGAATCACTATTAACTAATTTCAATTTGTTTCCTTCGACGCGTTTTATTTTAAGTTTGATCCCTTTGATTTTCAAATCATTCGCATTTTCATTTTCACTTTTATCCATTTCATTATTTTCCCTTAGTCCGATCGGTGATTTACCATCGAGTGATGCATCCACGTTTGTATTTGTACTATAACTCCTAATAAAATTTTCCTTTTCCGCATCCGGCTTTTCCATGCTCATCTCATTCAGCCCTGAAATATCATCTTGATGATGATGAGAATCTGACAGCCGAATCCTTTTAATTTTTTTTCTTCTTTTTTTTTTTCGCCAACTAAAACAAGCTTCCGCTCTTCTTTTACGTGCATTTATTAATCCGGCTAGAAAACTACGTCTGTTGAATTGTTTGACTCCTCCGGATGTTTTACAACCCTGACTACTTTTGCAATTTAAATTTTCGTTCGAATGTGTTTTTAATTTCGTTTCGTTAATTTTTTTATCGTTCTCCGTGTGTAAATTAAAATTTATCGTTTTGTTAACTTGGTTTGACGCAGGGCCAAGAGTTTTACAACTAGTCAATAAATTATTCTTACCGGATATTATTTCGTTCGGTATATTCAAATGCATTTTCGGGTACCGAGCAAAACTATGAGATTGAACTGATGCATTCGAATTTGTTTCGTCTAAAGGAGGCTGAGGTAATTTTGAAGTTTGCAAAGGTTGGACTTCTTGACAAACTTGTTGACGTAGATTCTGTGGTAGTGGTTGTTGTTGTTGATGCTGCTGCTGGTGTTGTGGTTGTTGCTGTTGCTGTTGTCGGCTTCCTTTATTTTGTGATCTTGCATGATCTGATTTAAAAAAAAAAAAAGTGATAAGTACAAAAAACGTTTTAAATGTTAAACGAAATACATCAATTAATTATTTTTACCTTGTGTTAACAACTTCTTTTTTCTTATGTGTTCCGAAAAAGAACCTTGGAAACGGCTATTTTTTTTCCGACTGTGTAACCTGTACCTAAATGATTTCATTACGTTATTATTATGAGAAGAAACCATTTTTGAAGATTCAGGTACGGTCGGTTCGACTGATTTATTGTCCAATGCACTTCCAGGTTTTTCAAAATTCGATTCGTTTTTCAAGCTAAAAAATTACGAATGGGTACATTTAAATTGTTTAAAAAAAAAAAAAAAATTTCGTTATTCGGGTATTAAAATAAAAACAATTACTCGTTTCCACTAGAACTATGTTTTGCATGTGAGTTATTTGAATTCGTTTGATTTTTCTGACTTTCTTCCGCTTTTGAGGTTTCGGTTGCATTAGGCGTCGTGACTTCATTTAAGGCTTTACTTAAATTAGTTTTACCATCCGGCTTAGAACTACTTCTAAAAATTTAAATTGGAAAATATCAGGTATGTAAATAAATAAAATTAAAAAATGATTTTTAAAAATGACAAAAACATTAAATCTTACGTTTTTAATTTTTTTTCTTTCGAATGATCGATCGAGGTATCGACTGCTTTACGAACATTTTCAACTTTGGCAGGAGGTTTTTCAGACTTTTCGGTTACTTTTCGGGGAGCGGAACAGGTTCCTTCAGCGACATCGAGACTACCAACCGTTCTAGCGTACGCTAAATCAGTCACACTGGGAGTATAATCTAAATATTTTGAAAATTCAGGATGATAATGTTTCATGTGCATCTAAAAAATTTAGAAAATTCATTGTTTGATTTATCCTACTTTTGAGTACTAACTTTAAGTAAAAAACTTACGTGTAAAAGATTTTCACGTCGAAAATGTTTTGCACATACTTTAACTGGACAAATAAATTTGCCATTTTCAATTAAAACTTCGAAATCACCAATAAAAACTTTATTCTGGAAAGAATCATCCGTAGGAAAGGGTTCGGAAGAATTTACTTCTGGAACAGTTTGAGGTACGCTTACCGGAGCTTCTGTTTTACGATTGTTTTTTTTTAACAACTTATCTTTGTCTTCCAAATGACTATCTACTTTGGTTGAATACATTTGTCTGAAACGGTAATTTTTTTTTTTTTTTTTAATAATAATTAATAACTTTTTATTCTTTTTTTCCCTCCCCGCAAAATAATCACTTACGAAGCAGGTTTTGACTTTGGTCTTCCTTTTGCAGAAAAATCGAACGCTTCATGAGTGTACACAATTCCGTTTTCTTCACAAAATTTCATTATTTCATTTCTCGACCTGAATTTTCTTCCTTGAGGGCTTAAAAATTAAAATTTAATTATATTATATTATTTTATTATAAATGATTGCCTGATTTTTCGATTAAATAATAGTTACTTTAAAATAACAATGTCTAATTTTCCTGCTGTTCTTCCTTCGCTCCTCTGATAAAGCTGTTTGCTCCACATCTCAGTTTGACCATTTAAATATTTAACTTCGAAAGCAGCTGGAATGGTATCAATTAACGCCTTTGAAGAAGTTGTCGAACTTGGCACCTTTTCCTCCTTTTGCTTCGATTCCACCGAATCAGTTTTTGTTACCTTATCTTTTCCTTCCTCAGGTGTTAACAACTTTCTAATTACAGAGCCTTTGTTCTTGGACTTACTGACTGGATAGGTTTTCAATCCTTGAGATTTTGAATGTATCAAACCTGGGAAAATCAATCACAGAAATTTTTAATAAAAGTTCTTTTATAAAATATATGTTTATTTCATGTAACAAATAAATACCTTTCTTTTTCGATCTTTTATTAACATGAAATAATTCGGCTACATTAATTTTTCTTTTTCTCTCTCTCCTTTCTTCTTTAGTGCCAATGTCAGTAAAGTTTCTCACTTCGTTTTTAACAGTTTCCCCTTCAAGTTTAGAAATTTTATGACCTTTAAGTCTTTTTAGAAAACCATCATAAAACAAAACATCATAACGATCTACAGAAAAATATTCGATCAAAAGTGAAGAATAAAATAAAAAAAAAAAAAAAATCATTTTAGTTATTTCTACATCGAGAAGAACAAGGTGAAAATTCATTTGAAATTGCTAATCTTATACATTTAGTAAAGTAAATTTTTATAGTGTAATTTAAAAATAAAAAAAAATCACTTACCGTTAGATAAAACTGCTTGTATAGTAGCTGGATACTTTTGATATGGCGACCACATGGCCATAACTTCTTCACCCTTGGAAAATTTACCATTGTCTTTTCTATTTCAGTATAAAAAAATTTAATTTTTTAATTTATAAATATAGATAAACTTGAAACACAGAAATTTAAATAATAATAATAAGAAACTATAATTACTAACTTTTGAAGAACTGGTTTTTGAAGGGGACGTAATCTACTGGAATCCATAGGAATCCATTCATCAAATTTTGTATTCCAATTTTCAAAATGAACCAGAATTTCATTTTCAGTCCAATCAACATCAGACACTTTTGCAGGATACCATTTACCATCAAAATCTTTAGCTTCTATTCTTATTCCAGGGCAAAAATCTTTCATGTCATATGCTTCGGAAGTGCTACTCTTATTAGTATCATAACTATCAGTTTGACTTGAAGCCTGTAATACACAAAATTTTTATATACCAAAGTTAAGTATTTTATGTGTATAGGTAAGCTATTATAAGCCAGTTATTAATTTTTTTTATTTAAAAAAAAATTAACTAAAACGTAAGTAAACGTTTTACCGGTGAAACTAACAGGCGTTGGTCTATAAGTAATAATTGTTCATAACCAAAATATTTAAATAATTATATTTACCTCCTCAGAAGGACAATCATCATCATCTTTTTTTTCAGACATTATTCTTTAATGAATTCTTATTTATTGCACTAAATCGATAATCTGAAAAAAAATATATATATATATATATTAAATATATTATATATGTTATTAAACGAAGACACAAGAAAATTGTTAAAGGCTAATTTCAAGGTTTTACATATTTTAATATATATTTACACAATTTTAAAAGTTCTTAAATATCAAAAATAAACATTAACGTATTAAATAAAAATTTTATGATTGTTGACCTAAATACCTAAATTATCTTAGCATTTCACGCCGTGAAATTATCATTTTGAAACGTAAATCCGTCCATCAATTCGTCAAACATTAACATTAATACCAACTGCGAATGAAAACGTATGCAATAATGCCAACTGTAGAGTCATGGTAACATTCCTTTTTAAGCACCGAAAAAAATACTTAATGTAAGAATTTAATTATCCACTTAATGTATTACCAAAAAAATTAAGAATACAATTTATCAATTTATTTCTTGTTTTAAAAAAAAAAAAACGTATAGAAAATCACTTATAATAATGAGTTTTATTAAATAAAGTTTATTTTATTAATGAAATCATTTTTTCATTATTTACTTCAATCCACTTGTCAAACTTAAATGTATAGATAAATTTAATTTACAGATTTTTACATAAAGCACATTTTCTCTCGAGAACACTTACAGCATTCCAAATAAAAGTTTAAATTTTACTTTACACAATGAAAAAAAAAAATTTTTATATTAACACATTATTAAAATTCTGAATTTAATAATATCCTTTCAATAAACATACCGATAGCAATCAAAAACAAAATTTTTCATAATAATTTTAATGTTATAATCAAAAAATAATATTAAAAAATATAATTTAAAAATGATATACTCAATTTAAAAAAGAAAAAAAAAAAAAAAAAATAGGCACATTTATGAAAATTTTAAAAGAATTAATGTTTACACATTACAATTAATTCATTACTGATCAAAATATTTTTCGACTGAATTTACTTGAAAACATAACTTTCGAGTTTTTTTTTTTTTAATTCATTTACATAATAATCTTGAGAAAAATTTTGGTCACAACCTAAATTAAAACCAAAGTATTATACTCTTTTATGCGAGTAGCATGGAATTTAATGTTAAAATTTAAAGCTTTAGTTTTAAAAAATATACTATATGTACATATATAATAATAAATTTTAAATTACTAACTTTCTAATAAAATTATCATTTTCATTGTTTTACTCTTTCAAGAACTAATTTATCAGTTTTGTACATATCTGCTATAACAACTTGTCTTTTTATGATGGCTAACGTAGTAAATGCTTCATTGTATGCAGCTTCAATCGCATCACAGTCCTGTAAATTTTTATTCGCTTTGAATGCATCTCTTATTCTCCTAATGGCGTAATTTCTAAAATTTAAAAAAAAACAACATAAAAGAAAGTAATTGTATCATTAAAAAGAAGTCATAATTGTTATAGTATATTCAATATTTTGTTATGCACCAATTGGAATTTCAAAAAAATCATTCTTTTTTCGTTTTTGAATTAAAATAAATAAGTATTTGAACATAATATGTAATGAAACAAAGGATAATTTAAAATAGCACTAAAAAGATTAAATTTTTATGAAAGTATCATCATAAAAAAAAAACTAACCTCTAAAAAATTTAATACAAAAAATTAAGTAGCCGTTACCTAAAATTATAAGATGTAAATAACTGACTTTCTCGCATCATTGTTTTGAATAGCCGAAGAACATTACTTCGAGTTGCTGACATTTTTTTTTTTTTTTTTTTTTTTTGAATTAAACTAAAAAAAAAAATATTTTTTTAAAGAAAATTATTATAACGATCACTACTGCCACGATTTAAAAACCTCCCGCCATTTTATAACCATTGCCTAGGAAACAACATTGTTATATATATGTAATATAATTATTTTTGTAATTAGTGTTTTTATTTATCGATTATGATTAATTTTGATATTCTCGAAGAAGAATTAGAAAAAGCAATAGTTGCCGATGAAAAATATCAAAGAGAAAACGATGCTAAATTTCGTGCAGTGGAACAAAAAGTTGCCACATACGATGAGTTTCGGTAAAAAAAAAAAAAAAAAAATGTCTATTATTGTCATTCTTTAAATAGTTAAATAATTACACAATGTATTACTCGGTATTTTTAGTGATATAGTGAAAGCATCGCATTTAAAACCGTTAGAAAAAACGGAAAAAATAGTCGATCCAAATTTATCTCAAAAGAATGTCATATGGAACTCTGTGGCTAAAAAAAACTATGAAAAATCTTCACCGTATAACGAATGGAAAAAAAATAAAAAACATTTTACTGAAACCTAAAAATAAAATGGCGTCAGCGAACAGAAATCCTTTTTTTTTTTTTTTTAACTGATTTTCTAATTTATATAATAAACAGGTAATGATAATATTTTCAATTCTTTTTTTTTTTTTAACTTTAAACAAAGTTAAATTTAATTTTAAAATTTATAAACGTTTATTTATTTTTACAAAAATTTACTGAACTCATTCATCATAACCCATTTTTAATAATGAATTATTATTTTAATATATTTCCAAGCAAATTTATATATTAAGTATAAATTGAATGGTATAAATTGAATAGTATAAATTGAATAGTATAACTAGTATTGTGTAATTACATTCTTAATTAATTAATTAATTGAATTGCATAACATTGATTCAATTAAATTTTAATAAACCATTCAATAGGGATATATATATATATAAAAATTTTAAATTGATAAATTTTTTTGTAATTTATTAGGTGACTTAAATTCAATCAACACCGTTAGTAATCAGGTACAAAGAGGAAGAAAAAAAAAAAATCATTGACTGTTTCTTAAACTGTTAAAAAAAATTCTAGTTTGCAAATCAGGCGCACTACTGTTAACCGTGACTTTATTTTAGTATACCTTAACAACTTGGTATTTCAACATAAAAGTCCGGTTTTTGCGACGATGAAGCACAAAAAAAAATAATAATATTACGGAAAAGAGAAAGATAATTATACTTTCATTTTAAGAGTTGAATTTACTACTTCAGAATAATATTTTGTACTCAAAACTAACTAACTCGTTTCACGTTTTTTTTATTTTTTTTTTATTTTTTTTTTATTTTTATTTGCGGTAAAAATTATTTAAAAAAATATATAGTTGTTTAAAATTGTTATGATTGTGAAATTAAAACAAAACAAAAAAAATGTCGGGATTAAGTGTTGAAAATTTGAAAATAAATTCTGTTGAAACAAATCATGTTAGATTTAATCAACCGTTGATGAATTGGTTTCATTTTTTAAATTTTGCAACTCTTGCTGTTGTTTGTTTAATAATGACAAAAATTTACAATGGATTTTTACTATTCTACAAATGGTTGTTCCCATTTAAATACATTATTAAAAATCCAACTATTTTGGTAAGTTTTTTTTTTTTAGTTTTAAATATGAATAAATAAGTACATGAAATTGCACACGGTAAAATTTAAAATCAGAAAAATGTTATCATTATTATCAGGATTGTTAAAAATTTAACGATAACATTTTTAAGAACTTTTTTTTTTTTCTTTTTTTTTAGCATTTTACGATCGATCCATTAATCGAATTCTTTGATATTTTATCGTTGCATAAAATGTTTTTTTTTTTTTTTTTTTTACTTTAATAATTTTTAATTAACATTTATGTATATTAACGTAAGGAAAACGAAAAATTTTTTTTTGTAATTAACACTTGTATTAAAAAAAAAAAAAAACTATTATACAAACGTATAATTTTACATAAATTAAACTTTTTTTTTTTTTTTAGTGCATTACGTAGTAAAAATAAATCATTATTATTAATTATTAAAACATCTTTTTTTCAGACTTCTGAAAACAAGTTTAAAAAAAAAATTGGTATAAACCTGGTGGTACCACCAAATCTTTCATTTTTTACAAAAAATAAATTTTTGGTATAAACCTTGACATACCGTTAAATCTAATTTTTTATTTTAAAAACAAAATTTAAATGTTAATAATATAAATAATTTGCAAAAGTTAATAATAGTCCCTAATAACATTATCAATAACAATAAAAAAAAATTCAATAAATAAATTCAAATTTTATGAAAAAAAGTTACAATATGTGTACATATATATATACAATTGACAAAATTTCTTACTATTACCTATAATTATTACGTAAGATTGTTTTTTTTTTTTTTTTTTGAAACAAAAACCTCATTTAATTAAAATTTATTTTTAAGAGGATTTAATAAGAAAATTTGTTTGTTTGTTTGTTTGTTCGTCTTCTTCTCAATGTTATGTATGTTGTTTGTTGTGGTGCAATAATGATAATCAAGTTTTTTTTTTCTCATAGTAAGAATAGATCAAGTGCATCCGTTTTTGTAGAAGGAGAACAACTTCATTAAATATTAAC